TCCTCCCCCTCCCCCTTCCCTCCCCTCTCCTTCCTCCTCCTCCCCCTCCTCCCCTCCCTCCTCCTCCCCTCCCCTCCTCCTCCCCCTCCTCTTCCTCTCCCTCCTCTTCCTCCCCCTCTTCCTCCCCTCCCCTTCCTCCCCCTCCCTTTCTCCCCTCCCCTCCTCCTCCTTCTCCCTCCTCCTCCTCCCCCTCCCTCCTCTTCCTCCCCTCTCCTTCCTCCTCTCCTTCCTCCTCCTCTTCCTCCCCTCCCCCTCCTCTTTCTCTCCCTCCCCTCCTCCCCTCCCCTCCTCTCCCCTCCCCCTTCCTCCCCTCCCCTTCCTCCCCCTCCCCTTCCTCCCCCCTCCCTTCCTCCTCACTCTTCCTCCCTTCCTCTTCCTCCCCTTCCTCTTCCTCCCCTTCCTCCCCCTCCCCTTCCTCCCCTCCCCTTCCTCCCCCCTCCCCTTCCTCCCCCTCCTCTTCCTCCCTTCCTCTTCCTCCCCCTTCCTCTTCCTCCCCTTCCTCCTCTCTTCCTCCCCTCCCCTCCTCGTGACCGTGCGTCAAACATCAAAAGCCGTGTACTGTATTTGTTCATTCATTCAACCTCCGTACACTGTGAGGAGCCACTAGCCTCGGGGCCCTACTGTGGTGGACTTCAGTTTGTCACCACCATCACTATCACCACTTCCACTATTACCACACTCTATCAGCCTGTACTGCTACTACTAACAACAACAACAATTTAACCACTAGCAACAACAACAACTACCACCATCTCCATAGTAACACAAACCACCACCACCACCATAGTAACGACCACACCACCACCATAGTAACGACCGCCACTACCACCGGTAGCACAAATACCACCACCACCATAGTAACGACCACCCACTACCACCACCACCATAGTAACGACCACCCACTACCACCATAGGAACGACCACCATTACCACCACTAGTGCCATTACAGTTCTGTATTATGGCAGAGATTGACTTACCTACCTACCATATCTCCCCTCCCTCCTCAGGTGACCGACGCCATCATGGTGTAAGGGGAAGAGGTTAAAGATGCTACTAAAAGATGCTATTGGCGTAGTGTGGAAGGTAGTGTTAGAGCCGCTCTGACCCTTAATCCTGTCTCACTTAACTGTTTCGGCGTGGAGGGAGGTGGGGAGGGAGGGAGGAGGTGGGAGGGAGGAGGTGAGGGAGGAGGGGGGTGAGAGAGAGGAGGAGGTGAGGAGAGAGGGCTAGAGAGGGGAGGAGTGGGGGAGGGAGGGTGGGATGGGGGGGGAGGGAGGGGAGGGAGGGAGGGTGTGAGAAGGGGAGGAGGTGAGGGAGGGAGGGAGGAGGGAGTAGGAGAGGAGGAGGGTGGTAGAGGGAGAGAGGGAGGAGAGAGGGAGAGGGGAGGAGGGGGGAGGAGAGGAGAGGGAGAGGAGGAAAGGGGATAAGAGAGAGGGAGAGGAAGAGACAGGGTTTAAGAAAGAGGAGAGGGAAGAGGATGTAGATAGGGGAAGGAGGGACACGAAAAGGAGGAAGATAGGAGAGGGGAAGATAAAGAGATAGACAGTGTGGAGGAATAAACTGACTGGAACATTTGTTTGCCACCAGCAGGAGAACTTTATGTTGAGTCATTGCAACGCTGTTCCTCCCAGCCGGGTCGCTGGACTCTGGGAGCAGGTGTCTGACCGCCCTTTCGTCAATGAGCAAAATTTTAATCTGCGGGTTTCGGGACAGAATTGCGTCTTTCGAACTTTTGCAATTGTTGTTAAAAGACTTAAGAAAAAAAAACTCAAAATGACCCCCTCTCCCACACCTGTTTTGGCAATTTCAGGTGTACTGGTGGGGAGGGACTACATAATTGGTAATTGGTTGTTACTGTTTCAAATTAAGTCTGGCACCTGGGGACACTGGCGCCCTCAGTGTCAACAGCCGTGTAACACTTGACACTAGTTGTTTCCCACTGTGTATTTTGTTGTGTCTTGTGGTCTTGTCCTCCCGCGTTGAGAGCACCCAGGCAACATGGTGACCGACCCCCCCACTAAACGTATCACTGAACCCTAGTAAGTCCAGTCCTAGTGTTGCTGTTGAGTAATGTTGTGTGTGTGTTTGTGTGGTACAGATGTAAAGACAACGACCAAGGAGAACTTGCAGCACTGATCTGTGATAGCAGTGATACCCGGAAAGTGAACAGCTCAATCAACAGTATTGCTTATATCAAAAATTAATTATGAAGTGCTCACCTGTGGCCACAACCTAGAGCTCTTGTGATATATGTTGACGGCCCTAGTATTATGTAAGGAGTAGCTGGACTATGTCAAGATAGAGGAGGTAACAATAGCTAGTAAGTGGCTCAATCATGTTGGAGTAGATCACCCCTCGACCACCCTGCAAGTTGAAGCCTTAAGGAATAGGTGGTAGAGGCCGCCCGCCAGGATGAGCGAGGAGGTGTCCGTGGCCACCGTGGACGGCAGCATGCAGCAGCAGGGTCAGCAGGGACAGGGGGGAGGAGGCACCATCCACTCCTCTGCCTCACCCTCGATACCGCCACCGCCCCGCCCTCAGACTCCTCCCACCACCACCAGCACCACTACCATCCAGTCCGGTTCCCACCTCAGCTACGTCTCGGACAAAGTCGACCTC